TGGATTCTGCAGAAGGAATCCTCAGTGCATACTAGCACATGTTACAACCCAGAACAGGCAGACTCCCACAGCTCTTTGGGGGTAGAGCATGCATACCTGTCTTGAAGGACCATACTATGTGTTGCACACAAGGTGCTAGACTGAATTTATCCCAAAGCCATGAGTGGTTTCTACCCATTTCCAAGCTTACCTTCCCTTTTGTGGCAGGACTGCATCAGTGGATGCAGGCAGATGGAAGGTCAGAACAGGCAGAAACACTTGTGGCCATGAGATCACGTAGGGCATCACTCACTAAGAAACTCAACCCCAGCAGAGCAGACATAACATTCCCACCCACCTAGGTGCAAGGCAAGGGAACAGCCATGGGGGCCTGCCACCCACTGGACGACACCGGGCCACACCGATGGGCTCCACACAGCACATTTTGCTTCACAGAAGGTGACAGGATGATGTAAGCCGAGGTTTGACAGCACACAGACCTAAAATATGTGGAAAAGAATCACTGACAATGAGTGCCAAAATAACCCCGATGTAGGCGAAGGTCTGCCAACACAGCCTCTGTCTCAGCCTTTAGCAGGCAATGGGCAATGCAGGCAGCCCCTGCTCTGTCACCTACCAGCTGCATAAAGCAGCAAGTAAGGTACCCATACCACAGGTCTCAGCCACCTCCATGCTGCCTTAGATGCCACTAAGAGAGCAGATGGACACAGCGCTGGCATCCTAGGGCCACACCTAGGAAGACACACAGACACACAGCAGCATCATCTGCCGTGCTCCCATTCCCAGACAGGAAGGGAAATGATGAATTCTGTTCATTAAAAAAAGAAAAAAAAAACCATGCCCACCATTGGGCAACATCTGGAAAATGATAATTTATGAGTAATGGCTGCATCTGCCCACCCACCGTTAGCCTCACCTGAGCGTGGAATTTTGGCATTTTAAAAAACTTCATCAAGAAAAATTAGTTTCTATGGCAACTAATGGTGCATTTAATAGATCAAGTGATGAGTGCCATGTATAAGAATCCTGCAAATCATGAATAGCAGTAATAGCTCCAATGCTACACAGTCACTGCACAGCTGTTGTGCTGAGGTGCTCCGAGCCTTCTGCACAATTAGGAGCCAAGCTATGTTTTGGGGAAGCACTGTGTACAAGCATTTCCAACTCTCTCCCTTTGCAGCACTGACTGCAGCTTTTCTTATTTCCTCCAGTGGACTTATTGATATTGATTAGACCACAGAAAATTTTTTACACAGTTTCAAAACCACTTCCACTTTGCAGGTGCCACCACTGCACCGAATACATGTTTCCATCTCTCTGCCTGCCTTTAAGTACCTGTACAGAGAGCTCTGCAGGTGGGAAAACAGAATAAAGCCAAAGATGTATTTTCCAAAGAGAGGCCCCTACAAAGCAGCATCACTGCAACACAACTCAGAGCAGATCACAGACTGAGGCACACCCATGTCTGTGACAGAGATACATCAATTGATCAAGAAGTTAAAGGCAATGCCTGGAAAGACAAAAAGGAATAAATGTGCACTTTGGTAAAGCACACAGGAGCACTGACATGAGGGAGAACAAAACTATTTCTTCTCCCAGGGTCCCAGCTTTGGTACATCCTTTCAAGAGTGACCCATGAGCCGCACTTTCTCACTGCCTTTTTCTCTCTTGATGTATCCAGAAGGAAGTGCAATATGATGGAAAGGAAAACCAGGCAGACAGTGCGCCAGTAACAGTAATGCAACAGTGTGCAGGAGGCTGGAACACAGCATCATCAAGGTCTGCTGCCCTTGGGGATGATCCATGGGATGGGGCATTGAGAAGGATGGTCAGCCCTGGGGACGGCAGAACACAAAGCCTCTGAAGACCCCAAGTGTTACAGCAGCTTACAGCAGTGGTCTGAAGCTCACACATCATCATCATGCTCCTTTCAGCCCAAGAGGAGGGCAACAAGCAGACAAACATCAGAGAAGAAGACCTGATGGCTCTGCAGTCAGGCTGGCTCCTGCTGACCTCCCTGAGCTCAGTGCCTTGACATGACCCAGCCAGCAGTGCCAGCACCCGCTCCAGCCAGTTGCCAGCTCTGACACCTGCCTGCCTGGCTGCAATCTCAAGGGGACCCACAGCAAGAAACTTCACACATTTTCCTCCACTACTTTCCTTTTTCCATCCTCTACCATTAGCTACTTGGCTTCTAATCTGCCTCTCCACAGCTGGGGAGACCTACTGTGAGCTAAGTATCAGGAAAGCAGGTGAGTGCAGCTAATTGGCCCCAATAACAAGAAAAAAAAGTGTTTGTTAAGCAGCGTGCATGATTTTAAAGTCTCTTCTCTTGCAGGTGTAATTAACTGTTGCTCCAAACCCCTGGATTTTAAGATGCTCAATTACAAACTCAGCTCGCATATCAGGAACAGAACCTGATTTCAGACAAGAAGTCCTCACAGTCCTTATCCCACCACCTCTCATGAATGTTGACCATCCTCCCAGCAGCACACTGTCCACCTCAGCACCTCCACAAGCTGCACCTGACTTGCTGTGTTTCCTCTTGCACTGATCCTGTGCAGCAACCTTACATCTGCTGCTTGTAAGAACCATCTAAAATCGTACAATCACTGCATAGCCTGGGTTGCAAAGGAGCACAGTGCTCATCCAGCTCCAACCCCCTGCTGTGTGCAGGTCGCCAACCAGCAGCCCAGGCTGCCCAGAGCCACATCCAGCCTGGCCTTGAATGCCTGCAGGGATGGGGCATCCACAGCCTCCTTCTGTGCAATAATCACAAAAATATTCAAGTAGTGAATTACCTTAGAATGTGGGTGGAAGGCAGAGCTCCCCTAAAGGACCAGGCAGGATGCATCCAACCAGCAGTATGAAAAAACACCTTGTGCTGTATTTAAAACACCCTGCTTGTATTTAAAACACCCAGGAGTAATAATTGACTGGTAAGAGAAGTTTTATGGCAATTGCTAACAGCAAGCCACATCTTGCTGATTTTACATCCATCTCGATCTCCTGTCTGAGCTCGATGCCTGCTTTTCCCCAATAGTCCTACTGACAAAAGAACACTGCTGAGATTCATCACAGCCTTGCTTAAGAGAAGGCAGATTTTATGGGCACAGAGTCCAAGGGAATGGAATCCAGGGGTCTGCAGCTCCCATAGACAAGGCATGCTGAAGTTTAAACACAGCAACGCAAAAAAACTAACAACAGCAACAAAAAGTCTCAGCCTCATCTTTGGGGTGGGAAAGAGGGCTGTAAAAACTGAATGGAAATTTAATAGGAAGGGGATAAAAAGGCAAACGTTCAAATGTAGCCCTGCCAAGCCTCCTGTGTTCTGCTGCAGAATCACCCATCTGAGGCCACCACAGCTATCCCCACCCCTGAGGCAATTAATCTGAACATAAAGTATGGCAAATCTTTGAGAGCTGTAGCACGAAAGTGAGTGCAAGGGTGCAGACGGAGGTGCCGGATGACAAAGAAAATCTATAAACAGGTAAAACGAAGAGAAATCAATTTTCTATCCTGAATCTCAGATGAGAGCAGAGATTTTTTGAGAAGGCAAAAAGGAAGCCATGTGGTCGCTCTCTTGATAAGAAGCTTAGGTTGTACAGTGGCTTTTTTTTTTCTTTTTGATTCAGCAGCATCATAAGCTTTGTGACTGCTTAACACAGCACCATTCATAGCCAAAGCATTTGCAGGCAGACAACAGCATGCTGCCTCTTGGGTTGGGGAAGGCTCTTGCTCTTTGATTCCTGCAGCTTTGCACCAAGCACATGTGAGCCCTGTTGGAGGAGGTGGGTTGGGAAACATTCTCCCAGAGAGCACACTTGAAGTATCAACTTATCTTTATTCTTTCCTGCTTGCACATGAAGTTGCTATTTATTTCCATCCAAAAGCAGTTGCTTTGCATCTAAAAAAGATGTGAAATAAGGCTGGATAAGGAAAGGTTGGGGGGGTTGAAGGAATGCAAGAAAAGCAGCAGGCAGTGGAACATTAATTAGTTTCAGAGAGGTGGCCACATTCCTCCCTCCCTGAGCTTGGGACAGATCCTACCCTGCCCATTGCTCTACACCTCGCCCCTGGAAAGAGTCATTTTCATCTGCAGTAGTTCAGATATTTCAGCATTTGCATGAAAGTCTGTCATAGAGTGGCTCTGAAGGGAGACAGAAAAGAACCAAAAGCTCTTAAGGAAGAAAACAAAGAACGTGAATCAACTGCATACATGGGTAAGTGTAGAGTTGATGGTTTCATGTTCCATCCACCAGGGGAAGTTCAGGTTGAATATCAGGAAACATTTCTTCTGCAAAAGAGCAGTCAGGCACTGCACAGACTGCCCAGCATTGGTGGGATCACCATCCCTGGAGGTGCTCCTGAGCCATGGAGATGTGGCACTGAGGGATGTGGGCAGTGGGCATGGTGGGGTGGGGTTGGGATCTTCTGGAAAAGAAATGTTTTCCAACCTCAATGATCCTGTGATTCCATGTAAAATAACTTCACAAGGTGCACATGGAGAAGGGATGGTGATGGGGATACCAAGCAGCTCCAGCACAGACTGACCAGATTATCTTTGAATAAATGCTCTAAAATAATAGAGCCAGGCCTGGAAAAGGATAGTTTCCTTCAGTTTAACCTCAGTTTCCTGCAGGATCTCAATGCCATGGTTCATGCCATGCTCATGGCCAGGATATGGGAGCTCAGTGAGGCACCCCCCCCCAGCTCAGCCCATTTACTCTGATGCGCACCACTCTCTCAGCACTCCCTACCTTCACTTGTATTTCCTTCTGCCAACCTCTGCAGCCCCACATCACACCACAACATTGCCAGTTAACCATTCACTCAAAACCCATCATTTTTTGTGCCGATGATGCTCCTTCTGCAGCACTGCAGCACCGAACCCACAAAAGCCCTGACGAATCCTCCAGTGGATCCTGACGCATCAACCTCTAACCCCCTGCAGCAGAGCAGCAGATGAAGCTGTCCCAAAGAGTTGGGTGGGGGCTCACCTGTGGTCGGGGATGGCCGGTGACCAGGCAGGTCAGCTCCAGCGTCTCACCCTCACGGATGGTGTAGACCCTCTCCGAGTAGCGCTCCTCCTCGATGTTGCACGCCAGGCCTGAGTGCACGATACGCACGGTGGGGGGGGCTGCAAGGTGCAAACAGAGAGCAGTGAGCACAGCACCTGGCCATCCCTGCCCTCCCCAGCAGCAGACCCACATCGGGTGCCAAGAGATGGCCCGTGGTGCTCGGCCCCATCTCGCGGTCCCCAGGGTACAGCCTTCACGAGCTCCTCTGCTTTCTGGTTATTTTGGGCTCCATTCCTAAATGAGCTCTCTCTTATTGTTCTCGTCATTATATATCTTTCTAAACTTATTATCGCGTGCATTATGCAAATGAGGCGCCTTAATTAAACCATTAAAATTAAGCAGGAGAAACGGCGGGGCTGATGCTGCTCCTTCTCAACATTAATACTGAAATCCTGTTGCTGCCAAAGGGATCAAGGCTTGGAGCTGAACAAACCCTCACCTTAATTTTCTTGTAAATGCAGTCCGAGCTGCAGGACGTGACCATGTTCTACACATTGTACATGTAGGAAAACAGCAACGTTGTTCCTGATACCAAATGTACAAATTACAGCTCTGTTTTAGCAATTCTCCCGTGGATGTTCCCGGCTGTATCTTTATTTCTGCAGCATGAAATTCACAACTATTAAAATTTTCAGACAGTGAATCAATAGGAGAAGAAAGTGGAGCTCCAGTTATAACCCCGCTGCCAAATGAAATAACAAAAGCTGAAGAGATAAATGGTAATTCTGGTGGGGCTTAAACACCCAGCCCTCTCTGCTCATCAGCGTGCTGCTCCAATGGTGGACAAATGCTTTAGTCCTAACTGAAGCCTTAAATGATCGAGAAAGCCAGAAAGTGGAAGAAAAATAGAGCCCAGAAGGACTTGATCGTGCTCCCACCATAGAACCTGCATGCTTTTACACCGCTGCTCATTGCCTTTTCCTCAGCCCACCTACAGACAGTGTTCCTGCAGCTCTGCATGCAGCTTTAGGCACCACCTGCTGCACAGCGCCTGGATCTCATACAAACACTGCCCTTAATTTCAATTCTGGCCCTCGTTCTCTGAAGGCTGAAGAAAATGAGGTTCAAGGAAAGGACCTGAGCAGGACAGTGCCGGGTCAGGTACAGGAGCAGGAGGAGAATAATTATGTCAGGCTGCAATGGCTAAGCCTGATACTCCTCACTACCATGCACTGCTCCCATCCATCTCAGTCTACTATATTTAGATCATTTCTCAATGTGCTTGGCTTAGGTTAATCCCTTCAGCAAGCATTTCAGAAACCTGTCCTCCCTGCAGAGACCGGCGTGGGAGGAAGAGCTTTTGCAAGCAATAGATGCTTCCCACATCACAGTGTGCCCCCAGCCTGACGGCACGAGGCGATCGGCTCCAGGAGGGACCAGAGAGCAGCACAGAACAGCTTGCTGGCACTGCTCAAACCTAACGGCACTGCAAAAAGCTTCCCCACCAGGCTGCAGCCAGACAAGCACGCCTGCTTGGTCTGCTTTGCCTTCCTCTTGCTCAGAACTGCCTTGTGACCTCCCCACAGCCCTGCAGAGCTGCTCCCTGTAGGGATGGAGACCCTGTTTGCTGCTTAGAGGAAACAAATAAGACCTCTAAACCACTGGGCTGCTCTTCACTGTCTCTCTGCCATGCCAGAAATGTCAGAGAATCACAGAGCAGCCCAGATTGCAAGGGACCTCAAGGACCACAGGCATCTATTCCTTGTTCTGCCACACACAGCCGTGGTACGATGAGCTCCACCCCACGGCTGGGTACCATCTCCCACAACACAAAGCATAAACTGCTGACATGCAGAAGCAGTTCAGCACAGATGAGGAGACCAGATAAAATTAGGAGAGTCAGCAACATTACACTGACATCCTGCTGCCTTTTACATTTGTATTATATTAATATGACATTTTAATTCATATTGTATTCATATTATTTCAAATTACGCTTGAAGCGTAATTTTGAATTTGATTTAGTGTCTGTGCCACGGCTCCACATCTGTTACGTTTGAAATGGCAACACAGAAAAGAAAAAACAACTCCTTCTGTATTAGTATAAGTATATACTGCTTTAAGAAAGATTAAAACGAATGCAGGAAAATTAAAAATATTCTTCCTCCTTTAATTTTAATGTTCTATGGTTCAGAAGACATTGTGTAATTACAAAATGTCACCTCCTTCTCTTCACCAGGAATATTCATTACAGCTACTTCTGAAATATGCCTCCAAGGATTTAATGGCAGACAAGGCATGGAAGTAATATATCCTTGGCATTTATTTTGTTTGTGGCACTTCAGAAGTATTTGTCTTGTGATTATGCCCGGTAAATACCACATGCAGGAATCCATCACCTGCCGTCCTGGCATCACGCAGGCGCAGTGCACACAAAGCTCAGTGTGAGGTCAGACAGAGCTGTGACAACAAAACCGACAACAAACCTCCCTGTGATGCAAATACACCAAGAGAGTCCTTTCCTATGACGAATGGTGCCAAGCTGACCTTTCTCTGTGTCTCATTATGTATTGATGTAAGATAAGTCCCCGTTGTTGGCTGCTCTTTTCCAGCAATTTCAATTCATCTCCCCCTCTCCTGTACACACACAAGACTACGCAAGCAAAAAGGCTTCAACTTGCCACAAGCTCCCCAGATGGCACAGATCCCAAAGATCCAGGGGTGAAAAGGGTGTCATAAAATTTCTGATAAGGCAAAATTAGAAATGCCCAAAGTTGAATCACAGAATCACAGAATTGTAGGGGTTGGAAGGGACCTCTAGAAATCATTGAGACCAACCCCCCTGCCAAAGCAGGTTTCCTAAACCAGGTTGCACAGGTAGGCATCCAGGCAAGACTTGAACATCTCCAAAGAAGGAGACTCCACCACCTCCCTGGGCAGCCTGTTCCAGTGCTCCGTCACCCTCACTGTAAAGAAGTTCTTGTGTACATTTGTGCGAATATGGATGCAGGTATCCAGACGCATTTAATAAAGACACAAAGGGCAGAGCAGATGCCATGATGAATGTGAGCACAGCCACTCTCCATCAAACCTGCAGAATAACATTTGTTTTCTGAACAAGTGCCAAAGTAGAGAAGAGTTTTTCTAAGTAAGCTGGCCACCCAAGAAAGTAAACAAACTCAGAGTCACAGAATCACAGAATGGCTTGGGTTGGAAGGGACCTCAAGGATCCTGAGCCTCCAACCTCCCCCGCCACAGGCAGGGCCACCAACCTCCCCATTTCATAGCAGCCCAGGCTGCCCCATCCAACCTGGCCTTGAACACCTCCAAGGATGGACAGGGCATCCGCAGCCTCTCTGGGCAGCTGTTCCAGCACCTCACCACTCTCTGTAAATAACCAGCATGCAACCTTTGCAAGAGTTTGCCCTCGTCTTTCCCCAACCCAAAGCTTGGTCACTGGGTGGCCTCAAGCTGCACCAGCAACACAACAGGCCATATCTGCTCACGGCATGCAACACATTATTATTGGATCTGGTGTCTGGTGCAGTGCATGGCAATCTTGCTCAGGGCAGAGGGTTGGAACGAGGTGATCTTTAAAGCCCCTTCCAACCCAATCCGTTCTCTGATGCTATGATTGACTCTGCTACTATTATTCCAAAACATTTCAAATAAGAAAGAAATGTTCAACAGAATCAGGGGTCTTCGTGTCTGGAGAATTACAACAGCCTTTTTCTCATCCAGAACATACCTACTGTTTCAGGAACAGATACCAACAGACACGGACCATATGTCATAGATCGTAACTTTTTAATACTTGCCCAGCAGGAAGGACAATAAACAGACAGCGTAACGAGTTGTAAGGGGGTAAGAAATCTGCCTGTTCCTAGAAGCAGCATTACAGTTCCTATAACTCAATAGATACTCTACTGATAAGCTTTGTAGTGCCAAAATTAGGTCAGCTTGTGACAGCAGCGTTGGGAAGCGGCAGTGTGATTTAATTGGCACGGTGGCTCCTCATGTTGGTGCTATCGATCAAGAAGGCTTCCTGAGCTCTGGAAATGCAGTTTAAGTCACAGAGATACAGGCAAGCATTAAGCAACGTGGCAAAAACAGTCCAATCAATGCAAGGAAAAAAATGCTCTTCGTCCTTCTCTTGTGAGACTGGGAGGCAAGGACAGCCATGGACAGCTCAACAACGGAACGAGGGTTATTTATGCTGCTGGGCATGTAGAGTGAGAGCAGGTAGGAAGTATTTCATGCTGATAGATCTTTTTACACTACAGAATTCGCCCTGCTATCACTTGTCTGCTAAGGCTGCTGAAGGAAACATACAGTCATAAAGCTATGAAAACAGAAAAAGCAAAGGCTCCCTGCGTTGGATGCCTGGCTTTTGTTCCACATGGGACCCGAAAATGAAGATGTTAATTGAGACTCTCAATATTTATATAATGAAATGTCCTTGTGTAACATTTCCCATCCTCACTCCCCACCAAGAGTACTACGCTTTCTAAAAACAGAAATAAACTGACCTAATAACACATTTATCAGCTAACCTCCAGCTGGTGTCCAACCCCACGTTCCCCACAGTAAAACACTCCAAGCTCTGTAGTGATGAGAGCTGTTGTGCCAGGGCAGTGCATTCATCACAGTAATACCACCGAGATCCCCGGTCACTTCATATGCAATTAGCAGAATTAAGAGCTGATAGGAGTACGGGAAAACTCATTTTTGAGAGTTGCAAACACGTACACAGTTACTTTAGATCTTCATGTTCTTAAAAAAAAAAAAAAAAAAAAGAGAGAGAAAAGATTATTTCCTCCTTATTACACTGCAGAATAGCATAAAACTCACTGGGGATTTCACTCTTGCTGATTGGTTTTACACAGAGGAGCTCACAATGAAAAGCACCACTGAAACAAATGAAACAAATGGGAGGATAACAGAATTACACGTGGGCACAGCCAGGGCTGATGCCTTGCATTGGGAAGGCAGCTAACGCTCTAATGCAAGAGGGCAGTGCTGGCCCCAATGCTTCCATTAGGGGCGCCTGGCTGTGCAGGAGGACATCACAGCCCTGTGCACACACAGTGACCATGTAGTGTCCAAAGTCTGGAGCACA